AACAGGTGGTGGATTCTATCAACACCATGATGATCACCCATTTGGGATGGGAGAAATGATTCTAGTTATTCTGTCCTTCCATTGTATGGTAAGTGCTGTAACAGCAACATCAGCCACCTCTTCAGGAAAGAATGCAGCCCATTCAAGGAAATTCAAGGATCTCCAGGGCTGCTTCCACACCACCGTGGTTTTCCATGGTAGTCTGGTTCTTCATAATCACCCTTGAAGTACAGATTTTAGGCAGCCCAGGGTAATCTATTAACAGTAGTTTCCCTTTCACACCTGATGTGAATTGCTGTGTTCTCACATGACCCTCAGGACTCTCCATGCACCCTGGGTTTGTTTGTTTGTTTAATTTAGAGGAGCATGGGTAGTTCAGGACAGCACAAAATTAACACAATACCTTTAAAAAAAACCCTCCATGTATTTGTAGACACAACTGGTGATTCCCCTCCCCCACCCTGCCTAAATGGCAGGATCTATGGAGGGTGAGTCTCTTCTGCTTTTTTAAAAAAACCCAAACATGAGTAATGCTAGATAGGAATAAAGCAATACCTTTAACAACCTTCTTAGAAAACTGTTCTTATTTGCAGAGTCTCTGATGATTTCCGTCCTCTGTCTAAAAGGCAGGCAATTATCTTCTGTTCTGCTCATTGTTTCCAGGGACTGGCCCCTTGCAATCAGCAGCAAATGAATAGAACAGACAAGCACTTCACCGAAGTCCCACTATTACACTGATTCCCCTTCAGACCCAAGAAACTCTTCCTGTTGATAGCATCCTGCCCAGGAAATACCATTTTTTACAGATTTAAAATATATGTGTGTGAGAGAGAGAAAGACAGGCTAACAGTCTATACACAAATACACGATGATGTCATATAGAAACATGAAAAAACATGCACTAGTCAGGTAGCTGAAACATGGGACATATTTGGTGTAGAAGCAGCTCAGAACACAGCCTCTGTCCAGCCAGCTTGAGAATTAGGAATATGAATATCTTGTATAATGCTTCTTACACTTTTAGTACTAAACATCTATTTAACTTACCTTCAAATGTGTGCTCAGAGCTACATAGACACAGAAGATGCCAGATGGATTTATGCTCCAGGTGCCTTTCCACAAAATTAATAACCCCTCCCTATTAATAGACAGTGTTATTGAGGCAACGAACATGAAATTAAGCAAACTCCGGAGCACGACAGAAAACAGGAGGGCCTGGAGTGATATGGTTCATGGGATCACGAAGAGTCGGACTCGACTGTGTGACTGAACAACAACAAATTAATATCAGTGGCACTTACATAGGGGCTAGCCCTGATCTAACTGTGAGTAATGAAATATCCTACCCCTATGTAGTACATACAGGAGAAAACGTCATTCCTACTTCCATTTCTTTGCCTTTCTAAAGCGGAGAATAGCAAATGTTGGAGTCAGATACGATGAATAATGGCAAACTGGTTTTCGCTGAATAAATCATAACACGTTTGGGGGTGGGAGAGCTCTTCCTTGAGACAAGAAGGCTTGCAATCTACTTCACATTCAATTAAATCTCATTATGGGGGAAGAGCAATAACTCAGTAGTAGACTGCTTGCTTAGCACTGCAGAAAATCCTAGGTATAAAGTCAGCATTTCTAGTTAAAGGATCTCAGGTAGAACAGCTGATTTCCCACAAGCGCTGCTCCACGCTCACTCCTCCCTTTTGTCCCAATGGCACGTGTCAATTTCACACAAGCTGCTGCACGGCTGCATTTCGCCCCGCAGCTTTGCGCGATTTACCCCGCGTCTACTCAGTCCTGTGAGCGCAGAGCAGCGCTTGTGGGAAATCAGCCCTGGTGTAGATGCTGGGAGTCAGAATGTGCCCTGAGCATGATGCTCTGTATTCCTAGTGCTTGGGGGATGCAACAGTGGGAGGGCTTCTAGTGTCCTGGCCCCACTGGTGGACCTCCTGATAGCACCTGGTATTTTTGGCCACTGAGTGACAGAGTGTTGGACTAGATGGGCCATTGGCCTGATCCAACATTGGCTTCTCTTATCTTCTTATGACTACATGGACCAGTGGTCTGGTTCAGCATAAGGCAATGCAAGTTAAAGAAAAATGTTCAGAGCATATGATTTTGCATGATATTCCTTGTACCTATGCTAGACATTATCCTGGAAGTATACATGCTAAACTAAACTTTGCTTTGTTGTGGATGCTGGAAATCACTGAGAGGACTGCCAGCTGACCATCTGTACCTCACTTTCACAATAGTCCTTCCAACACATAGCTACATACACCACTACATGTAGAAAGTCTATAGTGTAAATCAACTGAAAGACAAAACAGTGGAAGAAGACTGGAGTGAACAGGTCTGTTTAAAAATATATAGAGTGAAAAAAGAAATAGCAGCAAAAAAAGATATAAAACAGGACAGAAATTAAAGGACAAATGCATATTAGTGAGTCATAATTAATGATAGGCCCTGAAAATGTAAATATAAAAGGAGTACAATCTGAATGTGACTTCTGAAAAATGATTTCTTTTTTTAAGAAGCTCAGCTCTCCCAATACAAAAATGGGATAAAAAAGCCACAAATTGATTTAAGCTCATGTATATGGCATCTTCTTTCAAATTCAGCAAACTGAGCTACTTTACGGTTGTACTAGAATAGGAAAATAAATGTTTTATTTATTCTTAATATTGCTTTTTTTAATGAAGAGAGAAAAGATTTTCTTGTAGCATTCCAAGGAGCAGTCAAAAATGTCATACTGAAAACAAACCTCTTTAAAATATAGTTTAATTACAAGACAATTAGGGATAAGAGTTCAATCCAAATCCAACAAGAACACAGTGATTTCCCCATCATCTTTCACTTATGACCTACATTTCTTAAATATCAGCTGTTCAAACTCAGCAGTTCCCAGCAAAAGTTGTCAGTGCACACAGTCAAAACTATCAGCTGTTCAGAATGTGAGAGCTCTCTTTTGTGTCTTGCGACGGAGATGGCTTTTTCTGACATTTCGCAGCAGTGAAGCTTTAGAGCTGTTTGCCACCAAACCTTTCATTTTATCTTCTCTCAGCAACCATTCAATACATTCGATGACAGTTTAGTCACGGGTGTATGCATTTGCTTCAAAATTATTTTAACTGAGGCAGCACAAACTCGGTGAACAGTTCTGCCAGTCCCACAGCCTCAAATTCACTTTGTAACTCATCCAGCGTTGAATACTCTTTGACTTCAAATGTCTGGAACCTGTGTTGTACAAGAGAGGCTTTGTGAATATGCCTACTTCTGTCAGAATGTAATTAACAATTCAAAGCTGCTTTTCTATAGCTGAAACAGTACTAAATTATACCTTCTGTCGTCTGCTTTTGTTTCAAAGAGTACACTAATCATTTTCTCTTTACACTTCTTCCCGCTCGAATCCACATCTACCTTGCTGGTTTTCTGAAGAACCATATATTCCTAGGTGACCAGAAAGAAAAATGAATTAAAAGCAAAACATCAGAACATCGAGCGCCATCCGTAGCAACCTGTTGATTGAGAAACAATGAAACATCATTTTTAAAACCCTTCCATATTAAATATTTGTGTCTCTGTTAAAATCAGGTTGCATCTTCAGTATTCTAATGAAGACAGCCCCATGCTTTACAGATAAATGCTACTGCTGCAAAAACACTGGTGAGGCATTGTGCTTTCTCTATAATATCTGAATAGGTGTCTTTAAATGTGTCTGCAAACACTTTTTATGTCTGTGACAGGAAACTGACCAACATTGTTTACCACATTAATTCTGGAAGTAGTGAAGAATTCCAATATACTTTAATGGTGACAACATTGTGTAAATGACTTGGAATAGACTTGGATGCAACATTCTTGATCCTCCAACCCATAATTTGGAGAAGGATTGAGAAAGCGTTCATTGAGGAAGGAAATTCAACCCTGCATCCATACATCACTGGTTACTGCTCTATCATTCACAGTAATCATTTGCAAATGTACAGGCATGCGCACACACACAGTTGCAACACCCAGTAAAGGATGTACCAGTGAAGGATAATCTGGAGACCTAGGTTCAAATCCCCACTCAGTCCTAAAACTCAATAGGTGATATGGGACCAGTCACTAAATATGAGGGTCCTTCATCAACAATGGAACAAATATATTATTACAATAGGATGACTCCTTAGGGATAAAACAAACTGCTAAAGGAGGCATTAAGCTAAAAGAAATAGAAAGTTTCTTTCATAACCATGAAAAATGAACAGCTGACAGGACCGTTCAAATTTGGTACTTCTTTAACAGAAAATTCTTTGTTTAGGAGAACACTGGTTAACACCGTTTCAGCTAATACAGCAAACAGGTCTCTACCACAGATCTTCTACTGCTGTTGAGGAACTGGTTGCATGAGGGGGGAGGGGACATTTTTACCATACTGAATCCACACTTTTGTGCATTACTCTGCTCAACGCGTAACAGCTCACATACAAGTGAGCCCTACTTGGGATCAGTGACAATAATCAGCTGTTTTCTGCTTGTCCCCATGGATCTCTGGACTGGGGCCTTTTCTTAAATTTGGTAAAATTTAAGCTCACCCTTCTTTCTGGCCTTTACAAAGGCTCTCACTGAGAGACATCCAATCTGAATTCCAATTTATTTACAACCCCAAATCTCTCCGCTGTTTTCTTCTGAGCAGAGAAACATGCAAAAGAATCTCCTTCTTCCTTCCTAATATGAAAGGCAACAGCAGTTCTGACAGAGTGTCTCACCTCAGCTGATTAATCCCCTGGCTTAGCCAAACACAGGCAACTAGGAGTGAGGAGATGAAGTTATCTAACTCTGCCATACAGAGCCAGTCGACCCACTAGATGAATCCACCCAATGACCTAGGCCTGCAGTCTATCCTAGAGCTGGATGGTCACCAAGCACAAGATTGGTCACCATGGAAGGCATCACACTGAGGCTCCCGAGCGGGGCCTTCCCCCATCACCTGGGATTGGTGGGTAGCATCATTTATTTATTTAAAACATTTCAGTAGCTGCCTTGTGGAATTCGATGAGGCTTACAATATGAATAAAGCAATGACTATAAAAAACACATAAAATACTATACTTTAAAATTTCCACTTAGGACTGCCAATTAATAAAAACTAAATTAGTAAGGTAAAAAAGGTTTCCCTTGCCCGAAAGCCAGTCAAATCCGACTCTAGGGATGCGGTGCTCATCTCCGTTCCCAAGCCGAAGAGCCAGCGCTGTCCAGAGCTGTTTCCGTGATCATGTGGCTGGCCAAGGGACATGGAACGCTGTTACCTTCCCACCAAGGTGGTGCCTATTTATCTACTTGCAATTTCTTGCTTTCGAACTGCTAGGTTGGCAGGAGCTGGGACCAGAGACGGGAGCTCACTCCATCTTGCGGCACTCGGGTCTCGAACTGCTGAACTACCGACCTTCCGGTCTGCAGATCAGCGACTTAAATAGAATTGTCTTCAATTGCTTCCTGAAGATCAAAAGTGAGGGGGGTCAGGTGCACTTGTCTGGGGAGGTTGTTTCCTAATTGTGAGGCTGCCACTGAAAAGGCTTCTTTGATTGGTGGGATAGTCAGAAGGGCCTCTCCTTGTGATTTTAATTTCCAGGCAGGGATGTAAGGGAGAAGACGGCCCTTCAGATACCCGGTCCTAAGCCATGTCGAGAGATCTAAAGGACAAAACCAACACCGTAAACTGAACTCGGGAGTGGTTTGGTAGCCAGGGTACTCATTGTGGTATCAGGGTCACATGCTCCCAGTAGCTGCCAACCAGCAGTCTAGCTGCAGTATTCTGCACTAGTTGCAGCTTCTGAACACTCTTCAAGGGTAGCCCTAAGTAGAGTGCATTGCAATAGTCCAGTCTAGATGTAACTAAGGCATGGATTAGTATGGCTACATCTGACTGAACCAGGAATGGATGCAGCTGACATATCAGCCCAAGCCTGGCAAAAGCACTCCAAGCCAATACAGCCTCTGGGTTTCCTAAGGTGACTGCTGTGTCAAGCAGCACTCCCAAGCTGTGAAAAAGTAGTGACATCACCCTGCCAACAAAAGTCCGCATGGTCCAAGCAATGGTATTCCGAGTAGTCATGTATGGCTGCGAGAGTTGGACTATAAGGAAGGCCGAGCGCCGAAGAATAGATTCTTTTGAACGATGGTGCTGGAGAAGACTCTTGAGAGTCCCTTGGACTGCAAGAAGATCAAATCAGTCAGTCCTAAAAGAAATCAACCCTGACTGTTCCCTGGAAGACAGGAGGGCCTGGCGGGATCTAGTCCATGGGGTTGCGAAGAGTCGGACTCGACTGTGCGACTGAACAACAACAACTAGCCCATCCAAGACAGGAATCTCCAATCCCCAGTCTGAACCTCTGTCTTCAGACAAGCCACAATCCCAACCCCTGTGAGGTCAGCCTGAGTGTAGTTGGATTCTTCACCACATGGGGCAGGGGGCAAAGTAGGTTGCCAAAAAACCTTGGGCTGGCCCTGCTGCCATACCTACTGGCCTGTATCCAACCATGCAGTTCTGAAGGACTAAGGGCACTTCCATCTTTGGAACAGGGGATGGCAATGTCAGCCCAATCACTTGCAACATACACACTGCAGACCACCACCACCACCACCCAATTTTGTCACCTATACTGTTCATTAGGGTGACTGACCACCCCTGGAACAAAATTGGGGAGAGATTACTAGGCCACAGCAGAGGGGGAAAGCAGGAATTTCCTAATCCAAGAGGTCTGCTCCACAAGTGGATCTCACTGGATACGGAATCCCTTGAGCCCAGAATATGATCTAAAGGCAGGGGATGCTGGAAATAAGCAAGCCTGGGCCCAGCCAGTGCCTGGAAGGAAAGCCCTAAGTAAAAGGGGAAATGGCCACTCAGCTGAGCCTATACAAGTGCTGCTTCAGCATCCAATCACCTTTCAGAAGTGGGATGGAATGTTGGAGGGAAGCACGACAGCAGTTAGTTCAGGACAGCCCGAGGGAGAGAGCAGTTTGAAGGGTAGCTCTGCCTGCTAGTGTGGCAGTGTGGTTTAGCTCCGCCTCTGGTAGAAGACATCAGTTGTTAGGTGTGTCTCTGGTGATGGGTAGACGTTTTCCTATATAAGAGCAGGCTGGTGTGGGTGGAATCCTGTGTGTGAGAGAGGATCCAACCTAACAGCGACTCAGTGGGTGCGTTCAGACGGGGCATTTGCAACGGAATAGGTGCCGGTTGCAATCGGTGAACTTACCGGCGTTCACACGTAGAACATCTGCCTTCCGTCCCTAACCGTTGCAAAGCCCTTTAAACCCTTGTACTCTGCCTCTAGGTCCCCAAGTGGTGGTATCCTGAGTACAATGGTTGTAATCGGTTTACCTCCCGGTCTGATCGCTCTCCACCGGTGTCTAGCCACTTCCGTTCGGAAGCCCGAGGTTGCCGATATGCGCTTGGGCGAAGCTTCGCCCTGGCGTTTGTTTTTTTTTTGTTTTTTTTAAAGAAAAGGCCCTTAGTTTAACTTTCCAGAGGACTCCGGGACTTCAGGGAGGCCAGTTTGGGCTTTAAACTTTAAAGGTAAGTCCTTACCTTTAAACTTTAAATGTAATACGGGGTGTTTTGAGCATGCGCAAAGATCACCATTGTTTATTCCGGCTGAACGCACCCAGTAAGAGCCTGTTTGTACCTGCAGGCATTAAAGACAATTAAAACCACACTCTGAAGCCATAACTGGCTTAAATGTATGTGCCTCAGTCAGATTTCTCCTTAACAGCCTGGAGACCTGTGCCGCTGATCTGTTCTCTAAAAATAACCTGTAAATAAATAAATCTTTGTTTGTTACTTAAATAGAACCACTGCCTCAGCGATCTCCAAGTTTGTTTTGCTCACCACAAAACTTATCTCATGGCAGTGAACTCAAAGTCTTTGCACTTGCTACCCTAATAACATCTTATCACTGAGGGGAAGATTTACAGTTCTAAACAAACCTGGTTCCCCAAAACCATATGAGCCTGTGTTGGCCCCCTCAGTTCCTTGAAAGGGCCTGTCACACCTCTGAGTTCTATAATGGAAGAAAGGCAGGATTTAAAGGTAATCATACGTAACTTGTTTCTGGCTGTGCATAGGAATGAATCAGTGGGCAAGTTTACACTGCTAGCCTTTCAGCCCTGTATCTGTACAGCTGAGGTGAGGATCCATAAGGTATCTGAAAACTCATGAAAAAGTAAGCATATGTCTATGACTGCTGTCTTTAGCACTGTATTTATAGGGCCCTAGTCAATAACTAATTTTAGCAGTGGCCAGATATTGAACTGAGCTGCTGACCAGGGTCCTATACATATAGTGTTAAATATTTTTCTAAATATAAAAAGATTTTTGCTTAGAGAGGAAGAAGAGGAGATTGGATTTATACCCCGCCCTTCACTACCCAAAGGTGTCTCAGAGTGGATTACAAACTCCTTCCCTTCCCCTCCCCACAACAGACACCCTGTGAGGTAGGTGGGGCTGAGAGAACTCTGACACAAACTGCTCTTTTTCAAGGACAGCTCTTATCAGAACTACGGCTTGCCCAAGGTCATCCAGCCAGGTGCAAGTGGAGGAGTGGGGAATCAAACCTGGTTCTCCCAGATTAGAGTCCGCGCACTTAACCACTACACCAAACTGGTTCTACTACCAGTTAATCAGGTAGACAATGGTATTACAAAAAAACACAAAAAAAGACCCCGCAGAATGTATTGGGATGCATCACTGCCCTGCCAGCAACAGAACCGGCAACAGCATCGTTTGCACCTTAATGCTGCTCTTGTCTCCTTGAAGAAGAATAAAAATCATCTTGCCCATGAACATCACTCTTCCAGTGAGCCTTAGATCTGCACACCATTTTTCCACTGTTTTGACATATTTTCCTTTAGCTCTCATGTGATCCAAATGCAAAAGGACAGTCGATACACCGTTGTCCGTAGTTGCTTTTGTTGATAGAGTACTTTTCCCACTGCAGGCTGAAGTTTCGTCTTGCTCAACAATGTACTTCAGATTCTGTTGTATCCAGAGAATCAGCTCATGTACCATGGGTTGTGAAAAATGTCTCTTCGCTTCTTCAAGTAATCTCTCTTTCACTGCCATACACTGTGTCCTTGTAAGCTGCTCAGAGTGGACAGAGATATTCGGCAAGGTTGATGGGTAATTGATCGGTAAAGAAAACAGCAGCTTCAACAATACATCTGTCTCCAAAGGTCCTTTCACACTGGTCTGAATCCTAAATGAGATTCCTTCCGTCTCTGAAAAAGTATCCAGAAGTAATCATCAAATGAACATCAATCGAAACTCACAACTTTAGTATGCTTTGTTTGGTCTTTTTCAAAATACTTCAGTGGCACGTATCAATATTTCATACAATTCTCCAGACAATTAAGGGCTATTTAATGCAAGACTGTTTTGCATTCAGCAGTGATATAGGAGTATAACATTTATACATCTGACACAAAGTGTACTGCAATGGCTGAGCTGTGTACCAAGAAGTCCCCAATTCACATCTCATCTCTGCCATGAACTCACCAGGTGGTCTTACTTGGCTGGCTACTCTCTCATCTTCATCTCCCCATAGAGAACAATGGGGACAATGAAAATGACCTTTAAAAAAAAAATTAGTTGAACAGATGACTGAAATGACATGACAAAAACTTTGGAAACATTTAAAGTGGAAATGCAGAATATAATTTTTTATAATAGACAAATTAAAAGATAAACATATGTGAAGCACTCGGGATACTTGAAAAACAAAGTATAAATGCTGAAGTATTATGGTATTATTATTTTTAACTGCTTGCTCCTGTAGCATATCCAGTCAATCAAAACAGCATTGGACATCCCTGCTTTTATTTTAAGGGGATAACAAGAACCGCACTTCACATTTGTAGCAAAAACAGACTTCTGAACAGACCACATCTTTAAAAAGTCCAATGAAAATGGAGAGCAAACCAAGGTCCCCTATTTTATTATAGTGAAGTCAGGATATATTTCGAGACTTAAAGCCAGTGACTGGAGCTCTGAACAGGCAAGACAGATCTTTCTACAAACCTGAAAAGGGCCCTAGATTTGCAGAAAAATATGAAATCTTTAAAAATACATTTGGCAGCTTTAAGAAAATTCTGAAAATGATAAAAAGTACACCTGTAGCTTTAAGCAACAGAATCACTCAGCAGCTGTTGCTAGGCAACCACAGTATTCCAGGCTGGGTTCTGTCAGTAAAAGGCAGGCAGAGGAGGCAGGGCCCTTTCTAGACCTATTTTGCCCTTTGAGGGAGAACTCATTAGGGCCATGCCTGGCTAAGTTTGCCAGGTTGGAAAATCTGAAGAAGGCATGGTTTGGGGTGGGGAGAGGCCTCAGCTGAGTATAATGCTACCCTCCATAGCAGGGGGACAGATCTCTGTTGTCTGGAGTTCACTTGTAATTCTGGGATGTTTCCAGGTCCCATTTGGAGGATGGCAACCCTGGGCCTGGAAGCAACCTCTGGGTAACCTGAAACCACCTGACTTACATGACTGAACTAGGCCTAGCAGTCACCCTATGAAAACCAGTGTAGTGTAGTGGTTTGATCTTCAGAGTAGCTTCTGTGAGACCCAAGTTCAAATCCCCACCTTGCTGTGAAAACTCATTGTGTGATTTTGGACTAGTCACATATTTTCAGAGTAACCTACCTCACAGAGTTGTTGTGTGGATAAAAAGGAGAAGAGAATAATATAAGCTGCTTTGGTCCCCATTGTGGAGAAAGGTGGGGTGTAAATGAAGTAAATGAAGAATAAATATAGTTGAAGATGGGAGGCATATTGGTGAATGGCTGAGGATAGAAGGAGGCAGGGAGAGGATACAGAGATTGCCAACATGAGGGAAAAGAGGTTATGAAATTCCTAGAAACTGGGGGGGGACCCTAGGGAGGGTGGGGTTTGAGAAGGGGAGGGACCACAGAGGGGTATAATGCCATAGACTCCACCCTCCAAAGCAGCCATTTCCTCCTGGGGAACAAGGGCTACCAGCCTCCAGGTGAGGGCTGGAGATCACTTGGAATTACAACTGCTCTCCAGATGAAAGAGATCGATCCTCCTGGAGGAAATGGGTGCTTTGGAGGGTGGACTGTATGGCATTATACCCTGCTGAAGCTGCTTCCCTCCCCAAATGTCACCCTCCCAAGGGTCCACCCCCAAATCTCCAAGGATTTCCCAACCTCAATCTGGCAACCCTAAGGGGAACTGATCTCTGTAGTTGTGATTCCAGGAGATCTCCAGCCCCCACCCAGAGGTTGGTAACCCTAGAAGGAGAGAAGGAAGCAGGAAAAGGGGAGATACTATGGGTACTTTCAGGATAGTGAAAGAGGAAATAGTGGGAGAGGCAGAAGTGAGATGCCTCCCACAAGTCTTGCGGGTTCCCACTTGTTAGTCCCTAATCACAATGGTGAATGCAGTTGGCATCTTAGCATGCTCTAGGCATCCCATTACTATTTTTTTTTAATGAAAGACTTTATGTAGCATTTAAATTACTGGAAGATTCTGCCTTTAACACATTTCTAATGCTCAATATAACAGGAATTTTAAAGTCAGGTTTTGGCAGACATTTTGCATTGGGGAGGGATTACATCATGTAATGACGCTTAATAGATGTGTAAGAATTTGAACTAGAAACTAAATGAACAGCAATCAGTCTTGAATAGGAAACAATGTTGAAAGATCAGTTTAAGTGGCCTTATTAGTGGGGTTCAAGGGTAATCTTGGGGATACGAATCTATATATCAAATTCTGAACACGACATCAGAGTGCAGATTTTTAAAAACTGCACAAGGGGGCCAGGTACAGAAAGGAGATGTATGTCTATAGATCAAGAAGGAAACCCAGGTTTGTTATCTGGACAAGAGATGTTCCGGTTATCGGGGCTGGGACAGAGGCTGGATGATGGGGAAAGGAGATCCTGGTCAGATGAGTTTGGTCTAACCTGCACAGCAGCGGCACTGGATAATGGCCTTAGTAGCCCTGGTAAGAAAGGGTATGCCTCTAGGGATGAGGGGCCCAGACTGGCTCAAGGAGGGGCCTAGAGTGAGGCCCAAGGGATGGTCCACCAGCTGGGCTGGACACTAAAGACCATGGTGTGGTACTTGTGGGGTGACTGCCAAAGGAGAATGGGTTCACAACTCTGTAGCACGGGCAGGGTGTCACTAACCAAAGGCCTGGTAATAAAGGAACGGAGTGGCTACATCTTGGAGTGTGCAACTGTTTCTCTTGCCCATGGAGCCATGCCTGCTGCCATCAGTTGCTACAGGAGGGGCGTGAGATGCTGAGCCCCACAACACTATCCAATTGGTGAACTAGCCATTTTGGTTGTGGCCTCCAATCTATGGAGTCATTCTGGTTGTGGCCTCCAAACTAGGGAACCAATTACCTGCCCTTTTTGCCAAATTCAGGACTCAATCCCTTTTCACCAGGCTTTGAAACTATTTGCACATGCTTTCTGTAACTAATGCGCAGGGCGAACTCCAGGTTGGGGACTCCCAGGCAAGATACCCTCTTGAGGGCCTCAGGGCCACCAAGTGTATTGCAGCTGCTGCTACCTCGTTCTGCCCACCATCTTCTTTGTCATCAACCATATCAGAGGGCTGCTTGCGAGGGCTTCTGCTGCTATCCTGCAGCAGGACAAGGGCAAGTGACAGGCCCTTCCAGTGCTCTGGAGCCTCAGCAGCTGCCCGGGCAATGCCAGCCCCAACACCGGCTCAGCTAACATGCTCTGGATCCAGTCACTACTGGCTGCAAAATAATTCCGGCTCCTCTATTTCCCATTTAGTTTTCATTGGCTGATTTTATTGATCATTTATTCTAAGCATTATTCCTTATTGCGAGAATTTTTGTTATGGAAAAATAAAATATAAGTAAATAAATTAATGAGTGGCTGCTGTTTACTGCCATAGGTAAAAAGAAAGCGGCAAAGTTGGGGGCGATACTGCAGATAGGCCACAACTTCCTCACCCCAGCACTGAATCGCTTCGGCTGGGGGCCTTTCAGGCAAGATGCAATGCATCTCTGGGAGCACACATGTCAGGCCCTCCCCAGAGTACCTTGCAATATATGAGCCTTTGATCATCACACACTCTCCTGGTCATTATAGGCTTCCCCCCATCTTTTGCTGGTGTCCCACTTTACAGGTTCATTGAACAGATTACTGTAATGATGTATGTAAACTGCACTGTTGTTATTATCTACGAAAACACATAATCTAAAGAGAAAGAGTTTGTGGCACATGAATTCTATTGTATGCTCTTTTCTGATGGCCATATGACCAAGTTAAAACAATAACTGCCTTTTCACTAAACTAAAAGGTGACAGATCTCACCCACTTCTACTAAACTGGGGGAAAAAAATTAGGGTGTAAGATGAAAGCTGCTCTTTTTCAGATCTTCACTATATCAGCTCTTTGATGTGTTCCAACCATTTCACCCCTTTTCTTCAAAAAGTGGCTAAAATGTCAACTTGATTCATTCTACAGGGGTAGGGATAGACAGATTTGAAAGGCGCAGCAGAACATTCCTGAGTTTCAGATGAGTTCTTTTGAAGTGGCTTGTCTCTTCTCTACCTCCCAAGTTTTACCCTCCCTCCACATGATAGGCAACGGACTTATGCCTGATTTTCCCTCCTCACGGCTGACACTGCTTTGCAACCTTCACTGCCCTCTGTGAAACAACAGAGGCAAAGCCTGTTTAATGAACAAGGTAAGCTGAAATGGTTCAGACAACTTGGAGTACTTCTAACAAGAGGAGAGGCAAAGCTCTGTTTCCAAACTCCATCCTGCATCTGTATACTTTTGGTCATAAAACACAAGCCACAGAGGCAATGCCTTCGAGCCCTGGAATCAGATGCCACAGGGATACATAAAGAACCTAAATACACTTGTGGCAGGCAAACTGTCACTGGGATCCATCCAACCCAGCCTCTTAAAACCGGATACTACTTGTTGCACAACTTTACAATGCCCATTCATTTCAAGTTCATTTAAGTAAAACTTTAACTGCAGAATAATTTGTCCAACTAAATTCGTAAGATCTCCTTACATGAGAGATCCCACTTACTGTATCAAGCACAATGAACAGAATATACCAACTTTACTGTTCCAGGAATGATCAAGGAAGAGTTAATCCTGCATTTTTCTGTGTGCAGCAGAGGAGTGTTGTGAGGGCAAAAACCAGAAGAGAGCACCCCGGCAGCAGGGCCCACAGTGCATTTTTAATGGGGAAAAGATACAGAAGTTTTGATGGGCAACATGAGATAACAATTTTCCCTTGTTGGATTTTGTTCTGATAATTTTTTCCAGGGGTCTACTTGACAGGGCTGACACAGATGCTAGACAAATCAAGCAGACAATCCAGATCAAAGGTTCCCAAACTTGTTGAACCTGTGGGCACTTTTGGATTTTGAGAATGGGAGCCATCAGAAATGGTTGCTGTGAGGGGCATAGCTGATTACCAAATGGCTGCCAAGGGGACAGTCACAGAATGTGGAAGGTTCCAAGACAAACATCCTCCTGTGATGGAGTACCGATTTGTGTCTCAGTGCTCCTTGCAGTCCCAAAGGTTCCCCAGTGGGAAATCACTGCTC